CTCTCGTGCTCTGTCCTTCTATGTCTCTATTGACACAAGAGAAACAGAGTTTTATAGTGATCAACGGTGTTCACATACGTTTGCAACCGTACGTTTAATATAATAACCGTTTGTACAAAAAGGTGCGATGGTTGGTGAATAACCGTCGATGTACGTACACTAACTGTCGATGTACGTACACTTAAATATCCAACATTCGTGAATAACCGACAATGTACGTATACTTAAATATCACGTACACTTAAATATCCAACAGAAAGGAGACTGTGAAAGTAAGACAACTTAACCCAAAAAGACGATAGCCAAAATAAGAAGTTTTTTCTCATATCTATAAAATTATCAAGTGTAAACATTTTGTTTAAATAAAATTTTGTTTTAAATATCTGGCTCCTACTTGATTATTCGAATATGTAATTATTTAAGAATCGGGTTAGATGTTTCACACTTGTTTTCCATAACTATTTAATATTATGCCATTCAACAACATCAGCTTAACACAGTTGAAACACATGTTTCTTGTTTACTAAAGAAAATCTAAATTTTGAATTGATCAATTTTTTTTGTCAAAAATCTTCTATGATTTCCATTGGGAGCCAGAGCCCAAGAAGAAGGATGCTCCACGTTTAAAATTTAATCTTGGTAGCGACAATATGCTTGGGATGGATCGAGTGAAAGAGGTAACAGATGGTATGTTATCATAGTTTATGTCAAAGTATGTGGATACATGGTTTCCATGGTTGTCTAAGAAACTTGGATTTATCCAAACTTGAAACCAAGAACAGTTGTTGGTGCCAATAAGATAATACACTGGTCTAAGTGATATGTATAATTTGTATGAGATTTGCTCTCCAATGTAGCACAACCTGTGTTTTCTTTGGGTATATACATATTGGATTTTGGCCCAAGTCTTGTAAGCTAGTATATGTGTGATTAGGAAAATGGGAGAAAAGAAATTATCACTGTTGTCAAATAAATTTTGAAAATGCTAATCGTTTTATAAAAGGTAAAATAACCTCTAAAATTAATATTAACAAAACTTAAAATTAGAAATGGATTAAGTGGATTGAATGATGGATCAAAATTCATCATGTGTCGCCTTCTTATGGTAATGGAACATTTCAAATGCCATTAGAAACCCGACGGATATTATTAAGAAAATGCCAAGAGTGAGATGACAACATCTCTGACCTATAACTAACAAATTTCACAAGTCTTCCTCACTTTTTGGAAGGACAAATTTCGAGATCCATCTACCCTACAAATAAATAGGGATGTGAAATGGGTCTAATGACCATGGACTAGCTAGACCAATCCAAATTATAATGGTCCGGTTATGGTTACGTCCAAAATCGAAACGGCTTATATATATATATATATTGAAACCAATTTAATCCCGTAAACAAATGAGACGAACTCATCTGGACATGAACCTTCCAATAAGTTTCAAAATTTAGAGTTTCTTAATCTCGAGGAAAAAAGTTTTCTTCATCATCTCCTTAGGGTTTACTCTAATTACTTTGTTCCTTTCACCAAATCCAAAAACTTAGGATGTAGATTCTCTCAGTGATTCTTCTTAGTTCTTATTCCTCGTCTCCTCGCATTTTATATTTTCCCAATGATAGTTTCACGCCAAAACGTGATTATGTGTTTTTCCACCAAAACATGATTTTGTGTTTCTCGCCAAAAATATGATTTCCCATTTTCCACCAAAAATGTGAAATATATTTGCAGTTTTGTGGTTTTACGGAAAAATGTGATTTTGTGATTTAACGGAAACGCAATTGTTCGATTTTGACAGAAAATGTGTTTTTGCTGGGAGGGGAAGGGGAGAAGGGGGATATGATTTCACGGTTTTGGTTGAAAACTGTTTACCGACAAATCTTTGAAAATTTAATTTTAAAATAATTTGTGCTAGTGATGTGTGGTACCATACAAATTCAAAGACGTGTATAATATATGTTACACGTCTTTGAATTTCTATGGTACCAATTTTTCCTTACAAGTATTTTTATTTATTCGCTAAGACAAAAATTAGATATTTGTGGTTGTAAAGTCACCTCAAATTACTTTTAAAATGAGAAAAGTTAATTTAAAACAACACATTTACTTGCTTTATCTTTGCAAGTCATGTTAAAGGTACACCATTTATATTGTTTGGTTTTGATTGATTATTTACTAAATTTGATTAGTAATCACAAATAAAGGTGTTAACTTAGCTTAGTCCTTGTTTGAAACCGACTTTATCCCCTCAAGAAACCAGGCTCAATGAATATGGCCGACGGCTTGACAGTCGACACTCTGGTCTGGCTCACGTACGTAGTTGCTTATGAATTATGATATATAGGATCTGCTCTGTTTTAGCTCTCAATACTTTGTTTTTCACTTTGAGTTCTGCAGATACTTCAAACTAAAAGATGCATATTTTGTAAAAAAGGTTATTGATTGGATAAAATTTTACATTTTATAAAAAAAAGAAAGAATATATTTTTTTCTTCCAATATCTCACAAATAATGTCATACCCTGAATCAATCCACTTCTTCATTGAACCCACATATCCATTTTTCTTTCCATCAAGCCAAGAAATACACGTCTTGAACGGTTCTTGAGAAACAACCTTATGGACCAATGCATACCACCGAGGCATTCCGTAATCATCATAAGCAGCCCATACTTGGTTTTCTCCGAAAGAAGCTTCGACCCGATCCTTTTCGAAGTTGTAGAAATCAGCATCTGGAACACTCATAGCCATTAAATCATATTCCTCCTCCATAATCACATCGTTAGTGTTCTTGCTTTCGCACTTTACTCTTTTGGCTGCATTGCTTTTCTTCGAGTCTTGAGGGACTTTTGTTGCAGAACCAACGTTATTTTGCGGAGATGCAGAGTCTAACCTTTCAAGAAACAGTTCGATGATACACTGACCCGTTTTCATCATAGTACTTCGAATCATACTTGGAGTAAGCTCCATGCTGTCACGTCTGATCCCTGCGTCTTCGCTGATTCTTCTTAACTGAGGAACATGAAGCAGGTTTGTTGATGGAGGTCCCTTTCTTTTGCTTTCTCCTCCACTAGTTCTTCTTGGTTTACAGGACCAGAAACTCTCAATGGAGGTTGTTCAACCTTAACTTCAGCTTCTGGTTCAACCTTAACTTCAGCTTTTGTAACGCAAGGACTCATGAAGATCATCATACCTCTGGATTGAGAATCAGGATGGACAACTTCAGATTCTTTTTCGTCAGATTAGTTCTTTTCGAATTCAACGTGAAAGTAAAAAATCTCAAGAGATCAAATTTTAAAACATCAAAGTCAAAACCATAGAATGAACATAGGGAAAGGATGAACACTTATTATGAATTATATTGCCAATTATGTAACCTGAATTTAAAAATGTATTCAGTCAAAGTTTTCATTGCTCATTCAAATTATTTCCACATTAATTGATTGTAGTAAAAAAAAAGGTAAAAGGAAAATGAATTCTTGTGTGAGAAGTGTGGACCATTTTCATATAAAGGAAGATTTATTACTTCTTCTAAACAGTAAAAATATTATTTTTTATATTTTTTTTTGTCGTATGTAGTTAATATTAAACAACGGAGACATACAAAGCCGGAGAACGAAAGGAAGTTCCCAGAGTCAAAAGCCCAGCGGAAAATAAATATTTCTGAAAGACAAGCCTTATGAAAGGGCGGCCCATCTCTAGGGGTAGGCAACATAGGCATTTGTTATGGGTCATGTGTTGCCTTCTTATGGTAAGGGAACATTTCAAATGCCGTTAGAAACCCGACGGATATTATTAAGAAAATGCCAAGAGTGAGATGGCAACATCTCTGACCTAACTAACAAATTTCACAAGTCTTCCACACTTTTTGGAAGGACAAATTTCAAGATCCATCTACCCTACAAACAAATAGGGATGTCAAATGGGTGTAATGACCATGGACTAGCTAGACCATCCAAATTATAATGGTCCGGTTATGGTTACGTCCAAAATTGAAACGGCTTATATATATATATATATATATATATATATATATATATATTTGAAACCAATTTAACCCCGCAAACAAATGAGACGAACTCATCATCTGGACATTAACCATCTAATAAGTTTCAAAATTTAGGGGTTTTTTAATCTCGAGGAAAAAAGTTTTCTTCATCATCTCCTTAAAATCTAGGGTTTAGTCTAATTACTTTGTTCCTTTCACCAAATCCAAAAACTTAGGATGTAGATTCTCTTAGTGATTCTTCTTAGTTCTTATTCCTCGTCTCCTCGCATTTTATTTTTATTTTCCCAATGATAGTTTCACGCCAAAACGTGATTCTGTGTTTTTTCGCCAAAACATGATTTTGTGTTTCTCGCCAAAAATATGATTTCCCATTTTCCGCCAAAAATGTGAATCCTATTTCTCGCCAAAAACGCAGTTTTGTGGTTTTACGGAAAAATGTGATTTTGCGATTTAACGGAAACGCAATTGTTCGATTTTGACAGAAATTGTGTTTTTGCTGGTTTGGGGGGAGGGGAGAAGGGGGATATGATTTCACGGTTTTGGTTGAAAACTGTTTACCGACAAATCTTTGACAAATTATTTTTAAAATAATTTGTGCTAGTGATGTGTGGTACCATACAAATTCAAAGACGTGTATAATATATGTTACACGTCTTTGAATTTCTATGGTACCAATTTTTCCTTTACAAGTATTTTTATTTATTCGCTAAGACAAAAATTAGATATTTGTGGTTGTAAAGTCACCTCAAATTACTTTTAAAATGAGAAAAGTTAATTTAAAACAACACATTTACTTGCTTTATCTTTGCAAGTCATGTTAAAGGTACACCATTTACATTGTTTGGTTTTGATTGATTATTTACTAAATTTGATTAGTAATCGCAAATAAAGGTGTTAACTTAGCTTAGTCCTTGTCTATAATTAGAATCAACTATTTTTATCATGTGTTTGGATCTATTTACTATCTCTCAAAACTATAAGTAATAATCTATAAATTACGAGAATAAATCAAAATAGAATTTTCTGCATACAACAAAACTCTAATTTAAAAAAAAAATCATTTTTAAGATATGAGATCTGCTACACTGTTCATGTTTGCTTGTGCTATCATGTTACTTGTTCTGAGTCAGGTTCAAGGTAATTTATCAGCTTGTATTTAGAATTGATTTGTTACTTACGAATTAGAGCTTTGATTGTGATTTGTGAATAATAGTACTGAAATTAAGAAAATAAATAAGGAAAAAGGTTACAAACCATGACTAATTTAGTTTTAAATATGTTGCGTTCCTAATTGTTTGTTTTAATATCGTGTGGTTCAGAGATGGAGGCTCGAAAGACGAAAGTGTGTGAGAAAACTAGTATATGGTCTGATCGAATTAATAGGTGTCACGGTGACAAAAACCAAAATGATGTGTGCGTGAAAGCTTTTGCTGACGATGGAGTAAAAGTTTTCCAATGCCGTTGTAGTCCTAATGAAGAACTTATTTGCTATTGTCATACTGCTTGCTAAGTTTACTTATTTATCAATGGAAAACATAAATAATACCTAATGGTAAAATAATAATAATAATAATAATAATAATAATAATACATAATGTTTCTTTGCCAGTGAATTATATATTATTTTGAACAGAAATGAAAAAGAAAAAAAAAAACTGGAAAACCAATAATTTTTGAAGTGTTCAAAATTTTACCTAATGTTGTGGTTCAATTATTTAATAGTACAATAAGACAAGACATGGAGAAGTTGTGAATTCTCCTTCAACCCTGATCTGAGCTATTGATGGAATAGTTTGAAACCGACTTTATCCCCTCAAGAAACCAGGCTCAACGAATATGGCCAACGGCTTGACAGTCGACACTCTGGTCTGGCTCACGTATGTAGTTGCTTATGAATTATGATAGGATCTGCTCTGTTTTAGCTCTCAATTCTTTGTTTTTCACTTTGAGTTCTGCAGATACTTCAAACTAAAAGATGCATATTTTGTAAAAAAGGTTATTGATTGGATAAAATTTTACATTTTATCAAAAAAAAAGAAAGAAATATATGAGTATATTTTTTTCTTCCAATATCTCACATACACATAAACACATAAATTGCACCATCGTCTCACGTGGACGTGGTTGTTTCTTCTTATTCACACGACATTTCATTCTACTAGTAGAAGAATATACATACATACTTACGATCGGAGCCATGTCCACAACGATAGTTATTACAAGTTTCCAAAATGTTTTATACGTAATATTTCTTTATGATTTTTTTAAAGACAAAACTTCTAGTTTAGGACGTAATAAATATACATTCAAGTTTTCAAAAAAACACAAAAGAAATAAATATACATTCACTCGAGTCATTGATTGCTATTGGTTAACAATAACATGGTTCTGTTTATAATTCGCTATAAAAATGTTTAATGTAAAAACATCTTCATAATCATAACCATAGTTTCTTTCTTTCTGGAAACTAAGTTTGGGATATGGTCATATCGAGATTACTCACATTCAAGTTCTGGTACTTCTACTATTTCATCTTTTGATGAGTTCTCGTCAGCATCAACATTGTCAGTGGTACGAGGCCCACTTGTGGAGGCTTCACTCTGCCAAAAGAATTTCCTTAAAGCCTTCAGCTTCGGGTTCACTGCTGAGAAGTTTGGGTCCGACAACAGGTTTTTCATTGCGGCCTTTTCCTCGAGGAGACTCACGACCTGCGACATTTTTGGCCTTAACGCCGGGGACGTGTTAGTGCACAATAGTGCCACGTTCAAGATCACCATTGCTTCCTCTTTTGAGTAGGCTGAATCTAGCACTGGATCAACCAAGTCTAGTAAGCATCCCTTGTCTTGCAAAACGTAGGCCTACACGTGAGGGAGAAGAGAGAAACCAAATTGACTTTGTTTTTATCTTCTGATTATTGTTGCACTTTAATCACAGGTTTTAAAGAAGGGTGGAGAGATGGAAATTTTTACCTGATCAAGAAGGCACTCCAAGTTCTCGCTTGGTTTGACGTTTGAGTTACTCTTTCCACTGACAATTTCAAGGGCAACGACGCCAAAGCTATAAACATCAGCTTTTTCAGTCAAATAACCACGCATGGCGTATTCCGGAGCCATATATCCTCTGTAACATGCAAATGTATATAAGAATATCAAGAAAAATGATTTACCCTTGAGAACTTTCTACTTGGAAGTTGGAACTCATTAATTAGTAAAGAGACGAATATACTTACGGTGTTCCGGCGATACGAGTATTGATGTGTGTGTTCTCATCATCATTCAGCTTTGCCAAACCAAAGTCAGAGATTTTGGCGTTGAGATCGTCATCTAGCAACACGTTGCTCGCCTTTATATCCCTGTGCACAATCTTGATCGCAGATTCTTCGTGGAGAAATTTTAGTCCTTTAGCTATGCCCAAACAAATCTTCTTCCTCGTTGGCCATTCTAATTTCAGTCTGGATCCTGTGAAATAAAATTATCAACCCGCATATAGGGACTTTTAGCATTCATGTCACCGGATAGATGATATACATGGTTTCTAGTCTTCGGAAATAGTAAAGGTCAAGAAACAGACCAAATAGAGCACGAGAAAGACAGTTGTTCTCCAAATACTCGTAGACCAATATCAGTTGCTTCTTCTCCACACAAGATCCATATAGCTTCACAAGATTTGGATGTTGTAGAGATGAGATCATGCCTAACTCATTCACAAACTCCCGGCTTCCTTGATTGGACTTTGAAGACAATTTTTTAACCGCAATCATCCTCCCCTCTGATAACACACCCTGCACCAAGAAAATGAGCCGCTCTAAATCTCTAATATCTCTCAAAATGTATGCAGAGTAGAAAAACCAGTGAAAGTTGAGGGATAACCTTGTAAACAGAGCCAAATCCACCTTCACCAATCTTGTTTGCTGCATCAAAGTTATTAGTGGCTGCTTTTATATGTCGAAGAGTGAAAGTTCCAGTCTGAAGATCTAAACCCCTAAGCTCTGTATGGTTAATACACAATTCAAATCAAAGCGTTGGTAGACACAAAGAAGCAACCTAGACAAAAATACGTAACGAGCTAAACTATTAAGAGACCTTTGTCCATTGCATTTTTGTAACACCTTCTTCTCCACAAGCAAATGATCACTGTGATGATGGCCAAAATGAGGATTACTGCGGCAACTATAATTCCTACTATTAGCAGGATATTCTTCTTGTCATCATGCTCCGGAGATTTAAAATCTGTCAATAACAAATGCCATCATCTCTATCCGCTAATAATTAAGATATCGATTCAAAGTAAGATTACTTACTAGGTTCAACTGATATAGCTGAGATCATTGGGCCATAAACTCCTCTAATTGGAAGCGTAGTTGTCCCTTTGCCAGCCCACCTCAAGCTGATCTTCAGATTGTGATTTGTTACATTTACCACAAATGTCTTTATGATTGGCTTGCCCGATCCACCAGCAGCTTCTTTAATGTTGAAGTTTTTAATCATCAACTTCTCCTGTGAGCAAGTTATAGATAAGTAAGTGTTTAAGTTTTATGAGTTACATTTGTTGGGTTCCACAGAGACTTACCTGAACATAAATATCGAAGACTCGTTTGCCAAGACTGTAGAATGTACTGTCGCTGGTAAATATTATCTCTGCGAAGTGGAGACTCACAGTGTACTCCCCATTGCCCAGACAGAGTCCGTAGTAAGTCAACAAGAGAGGAGAAATCCGAGCCGTCTTGTAAAGCACGAAACTTGGAGAAGAAGCATTGGCTAATAGTGTAGAGGTGTTAGACACGGTGTAGTCATCCACTTCTGTAAGATCATTCATGAAGTGTCCGGTGCTACTAAATGCCCAGTGCTTGTCAGAGCCATAGACAAATGTAGTAGGTCGTTGGCCCTCTATGTTAGCTTCGTATGTCTTTTCTTTATCAACTTTTATTTCATCTCCCCCACAGTTTATGTACAGCTTATATTTGTCTGCAATAAATATTTTAAAAATCATATAAAAAAAATTAATCTACATGCATAAGGTTCTCTCAGAGAAAGACAACAATTAAAGTGTTGTAACTTACACTTTCTTTTAGGCAAAAGGCAAGGCAAGTGTTGGAAGTAACAAGGGTAGCCCTTATATCTGAAAAAAAAACAAAAAACAAATTCAGAGGAAAACAGAAAAAACCATCATCAATCAGTTCACTAAGCATAGCTAAAAAAACCTAAAGACAATTATTTGAGAAACCAAAAAAACAGCCATAAAGAACAAACAATCATGTATTGGAATCATGGTTTCTTACGATTCGTTCCACATGGAAAAGCTTTCCACCAAATTCCTATAAATGAAGAATAACATTATCATTTTCTGAACGTATGAGCAAATTGTTTATGATTATAAATTTATAAGAGTTAGTTGTGAAAACTTACGCATTATTAACTTGGTCACAATCACCACGAGGAATTGAACTTTGAAGGGTGAAATTGTTGGAAGATATATCTCTGCACATAAAAGTAGAACAAAGATCATTTAAAAGGTCTCTCTCTATATAGTTGGCACATTTAATTTGAAAGTTAGCAAGTTATATCTCCATACATATTTTTGTTACTTTCGATAAAACTGTTCGGAACACCCCCTGTGAACTTGTTTCCTGCCAAGTAACTGAACAGAAAAATATTTCAAAAACTAATCTTCATAAATAGAGAAGAAAAAAAGATTCTAAACTGAAACTTTGTTACCTAGAACGAAGTTAGTACTTACATATAATCTGCTAACTTCAAGTTGGCTAATGAAGACGGGATCTTGTCCGTTAAGTGGTTAAAACTGAGGTCACTACATAACAAACATAATCAATATATCGCGAGTTCGGCAAATATCCTGTTTAAAATTTAATGCTTTTTTCCCTCGATGTATCTTGATTATTACTTACAGTGTTTTGAGACTCGTCATATCTCCAATATATTTAGGAAGTCGTCCGTATATGTTGCATCTCCTCAACTCCCTTCATCCAAGATTAAATGGTGAATGCATGTTTTCTAGGATATCTTTTAGTGCATACACAAACGATAAATTGTGTTCTAACTCACAATATTTTGAGAGACTTCATATTCTGCAGTGGAGGAAAGGAAGACGATTTTCCTCCTAGATCGCTAATCTGGCTGTCAAATACAACAAAAATAAAGCAACATTGTTTGAAGAGGAAATGGATTGAAAAGAATTAATCTTCTAAAGGTGCCATACAGGTTGACCAAGCTAGTTAGAGCAGAAGTACTGGAAGGTAATGGACCGTCCAAACCGCTACCAAACATCTCCCTGCAAAAATAATACTTTAGTTCTATGTCCATAAGGAAAGCTAGAACCATAGAAAAAGAAAGTAGTCTTACAATTCAACCATCTTTGTCAAGTTTCCTATAAAATTTGGTATTTGTCCAGTAAATTCATTGTCACTTATCCACCTAACACATAAACAAATACAAATATATTAAAAGATAAACTAATCAAGAATGGTTTTTTTTTTCATTTGTTATCATATTGAGCATCTATTCTTACATATTAGTCAGGTTTTTAAGTTGTCCGAGTTGTTCTGGCAAATGGGCG